TTCACTTTCGCCTTTTGTTTTGTACGGGATGCCACCCATTCTTCTCGTACCCCGGCAATCTTTGCTAATTTAACTCGAAAGGGTTGAGTTTTAATTGACTTTGAATAGATTCGATTCTCCAAAACCCCATCTATATGTAGCAAAGTTGTGTACTCTTCAATAGTAGGGACCAAGTCTACTTTATTGAGAGTGAAGCAATTGTACCCTGGATTCCAGAATTGAATTAGGGCTCTAAGTAATTCATCATCAACTTCTACATAGAGCAAATATGGGATGTCTCCGTAAGTCTGATAAAACTGCAATTTTTTGTTTGAATCCCAACTTTCCCAAATGCTTCGCAAATCTTGCATATCATTTCTTTTAGTGAAATGGAGCATAACTGGCCAAGTCAGATACATATCCTGCAGGCTGTCTCCTTCTCGTCTTTGTAAGTCCTCAGCCCACTGTCTTACTTCTGAGTTTAGAATTACTTGATTTGAACACTTTTTATCCATAGATGAAGGCTTTCCAATGAGACAATTAACACAAGGATCAACGTCTTTATCCTGTATGATGCAACTTCAGGATTATATGAATTACAGAATGGATGTTCAACATGTTCATTCACAGTCGTAACTTCCTCTCATTATCATCATCAATACATTCTTCGGCAACGGCTGTTTCATCATCAAAATTCGGGTATTGACCAATATCAAAATCATTACACGCAGGGTCGTTCATTCACATTGACCAATATCAAAATCATTACACGCAGGGTCTGTTTCTTCTTCTGAAACATCATCAAAATCCGTGTATGACCAATATCAAGTCCGGATATTGACCAAGACCAAATTTCGAATACTGACTAGTACTCACAATTTTTTCTGTTGGCTCATCATCGTCTAACTGGTCAATACGAAAAACCGGAATTTGGTGCTGAAAGTTGATTGGGATTTGGATTAGAGAAAGGTTGTGGGTTTTGAGAAAACTTAGTTGATTACTACCCCTACTGACCCAACAATACTACTTCTAGTTCAACACATACAATGTAACATCATCTTGTGAAACACTAATGTAAGCAATGAATCGTTCAACATCTTCATTGTCGTTAACAAATAAACTTTACCATTTCTCTGATAAGATAGCCTAAATCCACTTAGGGCTCTAAATTCAATTTATTTGAAACACGTAGCATTAGAGTTTCATAAGTTAACTTTTGTAAAGACAATTTTAGTTGAAGATTCATGGGTAAAGGCATATATTGTAAAACACCATTAACATTATCCCATGACCTCCAAAACACAAATCTATCCAAACATGATCAACATTAGATGATTTCATGGTTGTAAATTAATTTACTAAACAGACGAGCTGCGAAACTAAAACTGTGCCGGATGGAAGGATGTCGTTGGATATAGGAACGGATGTCGCCGGATGCCCTACCGGATTTACAGATTCTCGTTGCGATTTACGGATTATCGTGCGATTTACGGATTATCGTTGCGATTTACAGATTCTCGTTGTGATTTACGGATTATCGTTGCGATTTACGGATACGCGTTGCGATATACGGATACGCATTGCGATTTACCCATACGCGTTGCGATTTACGGATACACGTTGCGATTTACGGATACGCGTTGCGATTTATGTGTTCGCGTTGCGATTTTCATATTCGCGTTGCGATTTTGGAAAATCGCAATGCGAATTTGTACTATCGCATTGCGATTTTCAAGAATCGCGTTGCGATTTTGGAAACTGATTTGCGATTCTGGGGATCGCGTTGCGATTTTTATTTCGCGTTGCGATTTTATTGGTCATTTTGGCAAATCCAAAAAAAGTTGGTTAAAATCGTATATTATAACTTTTTTTTGGTCACTGAGGCGATTTTCTCTTTAAATATTGGTGAAGTTAGAGACTAAATTGAACATAGGTGAACTTTGGAGTTCAAACTATAAAGCCTAAGAAAATTAAGGCTTAGTAGTGTAATTTCACCATTTTTTTAGCTTGCAAATAATGGGATAAAAGGAGAATGTTGGTCGTCGAACATTAAACAATTATGTTCATGAACGTTAAACGAACATATTTGCTAACGCTAAATGAACGAACACGAACACCATAAAAAATAAATAACGAACACGATACTTACATTTAAACGACATGAATGCTTTCGAAAAATAAAATATAACTATGTTCGTTCAGCTCGAGTAATTTACCCCTATTTAAACTAAGATTTTTTTTTTTTTTTTTACATTGGAGTCTAAATATTTAACCATTGAAATAGGGTAGGAATATTTGTAATATCCCGACTTCGTTAATTTTAAATGACATTTAATAAGTGGTAGTGGGTATTCTAAAGCCTAACCCTTTCTTATCAAGTTATAATTTTCATTATCAATACTAGTCCAGTCATGCATAGCATTGCCATTTCTCCTCAAGTCAAACTACGAATTCTTGAACACATTAATAGACTAATAACATGCATTGCCGGCTCAATTCCGATTAATTTAGTATTTTTGTTTTGATATCAATGTAATATAGCAGCAATTGACACAAATATTTATAAATTTCATGATAATTCAATATGGTTACATTGCTTTTAATAAGTTAATATATATTTATATTTCACATTTTAATAATATTACCATAATTATATTTTCATAATATCATATAAAATTGTATATTCACAATTTATACAGAAGAATAAAGTGTATAATTAGTGTTATATTGGCATTTGACTATCAAAGGCATCATACTAGTCTTTGTGATGAAAATAATTCCAAACTAAAACCTAAAAAAATTAGCATCACCAAAAGAAATTGCTAGTACGTACTCCAAACTTCACCATAGCATCAGCTAATATCCCAACCGGCTTAGGATTATTCTAAAAAAGGCTTAATACCTAGAATGCCCTATCTACTTTAGTGAAAATCTCGCTTTGGTCCTTTTACTATTTTTTGGTCAGTTTGGTCTTTTAACTTTTAATTTATTATCACTTAAATCCTTTAACATTTTCTAATAAAATATCGTGTGACTCAATTAGGTTATGTCAAGTGTAATAGTTTTTTTTTATAAAAAAATTTACATACAACAGAACCTGATTGGGTCATATCATCAGTTTTACAGAGAAGAATCCAAAAAATAAAATGATAATAGATTCAAAATTGAGGGGTTAAACTAATCAAGTAATAATAATAAAACCAATGTGAAGGGAGATATTTTACATTTGTGTCAATTGCAGCGATCGGTGGGGACTTGGAGTCAAGAAGTCTCATAGGAAGTGTTCGTATGAGGCTTATGATAAAACAAGGAGGTATAAATAATAAACTTTGTATTGTTTGGGGTATAGCAGTTGAGGATTACAAGTTTTCTATTTTCTTTCTTCTTTGGTTACATGAGGGAGGTTAAGCTGGCTTTTGTTGCTTAATTCTCTGATTGGTTGCTGGTTTGTTACTGTTATGTACAAGACATTCAACTTTCTCGAGTTATAAAATTTATTGATTATCCAAAAAAATACCGATCTTAAAATTTCACTAAAATAGATATTAAACCTTTAGCATGGACTGCCATTGCCCAGTTGGTTAGATTCAAAGTGGGCGTGGAATAGTTGAGGAAAAAGCCCAAACCCAAAACCCAAACATTTAACATACATAATCTATGTTCCAGATTCGTAGCTGTTCCATGCGGTAATCATATATATCGGGGAAAAAACAAGCAATCCGCATTGCAAAAGAGTTCAATTTATTGAAGAAATAGAACAGTGCACCAACGTAGATGGATAAAACATTGTTAACACAAGAATCTAAATGAAAATGTAAGCTTAATCCATTTAGGATCGGAAGATAAATCAGTAGTGAGTTGGGGCAGGGCAATTCGCCGGTCGGAAAGCTAATGGCCCAGCAGCATATATCACAACATCATAATCCTTCCTATACAGCCTCTTGCTCTCGTAACGCAGTGGAGAGCCGTAGAGCCCGTAGTTGACGTTCGACATCACGTTGCAGCTCTCGAGAGGCGATCCGACGAGCTTGACGACACATGATTGGAGAGGATGGTCCAAGAGAGAGTGACTCATTTTGTACCCTTGGAGCTCAGCAAAGAAGTAACCCTTGGGGTCCGTTTCAAACGCCTTGTAGAAGCTGACCTGCCCCCTTTGGTTCTTGCACACGACACTAACTTTAGCAGAGGCGATCGGTTCGGCTTTTGACAACGACCATGATCCATAATTGTCGCAGCTTTGGCAGTACACAATTCCTTCGACAACTACATCAGTTTTCTTCTCTTGTGGGATGGGTTCGTATGCGGCTAACGCTAATGGGAAGCAACAATAATGAGAGCAAAACCGTTAGGTAAGTGGTAGCCATTTTTGAAGGACTTGAAGGGAAAATTTGGGGGAAACAAGGTTGCAAGAATTGTGGGTCGGAAATGTACTTTATGGAATGGAATTATATATATAGGTTGGGGGAATGTTTTGAAACATTGATAGACGTGGAGGCTACTTTGTCCCAAGCACAGGCCACGTTTTTTTTATTCATTAACGTGATGGCTATTTTTGTATTAACAATGAAGTTGGAACAATAATATAAAAATGGGAAAGGAGATTTGGTTTGTAGGATCTCTTTGGCTTTTGATTATGGCGTTAAACTTCATATATCCAGTAGCTTATCCATGGGATTGGTCACATTTTCAAGTTCCTGGACATCAATGAACTTTGTTCATTTAGGGTTGAGTTTTTAAATGTTTAAATTAGAACTCGACACAGATCCAATTATCTGTCTAAATTTATAGATTCATTCGATATTTGGACATGGATGACAAAAAAATAACATGAAACAATGGATTCCCAAACTATTATTCAAAGCTATTACACAGCTCCGCAGCATTTAACCAAAGGAAACAGTCATAAAATGTCGATGGATCGACACAGTTTCTAAACTATTCATATAATTCAAACAAGTAAACTGCCGATACAGGCCCTTATAGATCGACCCTCTGATACCAAAAGCGAGCACCAATTTTTATTTTTTTATTTTTTCGGATTTCAGGCAACAGCTCCCTCGTGGAGAAGCATCTGATCAAAGTGCCACACCCCTGAATATACGGTTATCCGATGACAAAAGTAAGTTTACGGAACGAATAGCATATTGTGAGACGACAACAACAACAAAAAAATATAAGTTCAGATTCATACCATGTCCTTTGCCAACTCTTCTCAGCTGAGCCACATATTCCGATATTTTCTTGATGGCCTCCACCTGCAGAGAAAGGAAGCCGGGATCATGATCATCTGTTCTAATATTGGAAAACGTAAATGAAAAAGGCTTAAGCGTTGTATGCTTACCTGCTCGGCTAAGAACTTGCCTTCGACGAAATCGGTCAACTGCACATCATGGTTCCGCTCAGCCACCTGTTTGGGAAAAGCAATAAGACCTTAGACTTCATTAACATGTGGAGAAATCGAAAGGCTCAACTGCGTGCAATTCAGAACAGGAAAGTCTTACACTGTGCAAGTTCAATAGCTTTTCATTCGTTAATTTCTCCAGCGACAATGCAAGCTCCATTGCTGAACCAAGGAATTAAAATCGACTTATTAGACATTATTATGCAGTCAAATTCAACGTTGAGAAAGAAGACCAAATGATATATCTCGCAAAATCCAAACGTTCCATGGAATTAACAAGTGAACGTTGAAGCAACATGAATCTATAGTTCATTGCTTTGTTTATGTGTATGCATAATATAATATCAGCGAGTAATGAAGCCAATATCGACTTATTAGACATTATCGTACATAAAAATTCACAAACATAAATAATTTCATCTCACCGTATAATGCATCTCCTTTCTCTACATGATCAAACTCAGAAAATGGCATCAATATCGACTGCAGCTTCACTTTTCCACCTCGTTTGTTCTGTGAATAAACGATTCTGAATAAGGAAAACAATTGACAGACTAAAAGAAATCATATTAGGTGAAAAATAATAATAGCAACAGCAGCATAGATGAACAACCTGGTATTCCATCAATTTCTCAGCATGCTCTCTTTCTTCTAAGCTAGATTCCTTAAAGAACCTATACAAACAGAAGCCTAAGTTAGCTCAGTTTCACCAAAAAGGTACCGAAACGAGAATTTTAGTGAAGAATTACTTGGCAAGACCCTTAAGAGCAACGTTGTCCCTATCCAAGTAGGCGAACATGGCATGGTACACATAGGAAACGTTGTATTCCATACTGTCATATTCCAAAAGAAATGCCTCCAAAAACATATTAGAACATAAGCACGTACATATGTAAATCATTTAAGATCTGAGACCAAACAGAAACACACATCAAAGAATCCATGGTAAAAGAAACAAAAATGCAGATCAAATCATAAAAAAGAACCATCCTTTTTCAAGGATCCTAAAGCGGACATCATATGGAAATGTAAAAAAGAAACCTTTTTTAAACATAAAGATTGATTTAAAATCTGAAGGAAAAAGAACCCCACTTGATTTGCTCATTGATAGCAGCTTCACATTCATCCGTATACTTCTGACGTGCCAGAGACACCTGAGGCAGAGATGGGACAAGATCAAGCTCCTTCTTCACTTCCTCAAAGGGCTCAAAAATGACACCGGTAAGTGGCTGGCTGTTGGCTCTTTTGGTAGCAGAAACAACAACAGAACCAGACCCAGATTTGTTTTTTGGACAAGAAAGAGAACAAAACATGGGAACCCGATGATCCAGTTGATGACTCTTCAACACAGAAAAAGCAGGGGAAGCTTTCAACAACATGGCTACAAGAAAAGAAATGAAGTTTTTTGATGAAAAGGGCAACGGAAAAACAGAGACTTTTAACAAACAATTGAAGGAGATGAAGATGGGGTATGAGGAAAGGCTGATCAGCAGAGGAATAAAAAGGATGGTAGGGATGGGTCTGATCATTTGATGGAAGACACGTGGACGATGAAGATGAGTAGGTGGAAGGTGGGAGTGTGGCAGGCTCGTGAATATATCCCATATGTAATCCTAAAAGCGGTTCCTTTATTTGCTGCTTGTAATTATTTATCATTGATTCTCCGTCTTTTTGTCTTTATTGCCCCATAAACGGAACGAAGAAGACAGTGAAGATGGAATATTGTTAATGATGGAATTCTTTTTTTTTTCTTTTGTAAATTTTAATTAAAAATTGTTCTTTTATTTGCGGTTATATATTAAATATAGCGTCTAAACAAACACACGAATATGAAACTATAAATACAAAACTATTGTCGTAAATCGACATCAAATCGGATTATACAATTTGGTGCTTTAGATCTATCTACATCAAACTAATCAACCTTGAAGAACATGAGAGAAAAACTGAAAAACAATCACCTATCTACAATTAACTAATCTACCTTTAAGAACATGATAAAACACAACCAAGTCCAAAAGTTTCCCTACACCTAAAGCTGGTCAAAAAATTCAGATTTAACGGGTTTTGATACATTTTGATTTGATAAGATTATATATATATGTTTATAAAATTTAATTTTTTTTATAAAACAATCACTATCTACAATTAACTAATCTACCTTTAAGAACATGATAAACACACAACCAAGTCCAAAAGTTTCCCTACACCTAAAGCTGGTCAAAAAATTCAGATTTAACGGGTTTTGATACATTTTGATTTGATAAGATTATATATATATGTTTATAAAATTTAATTTTTTTTATCAGATTTAGATTTAAGAAGAATTAATTTTATTTCAACTTAAGATAATCATAAGAATGCCTTTTTGTCTACAAGCAGTTAAATTTTAATAAAATATATGTAGAACTCTCTTCCCACATGAGAAATGCTTGAAATTCCATTGATTGTCAAAAGTACAATATGGGATATTTCCTTTTGGACTATTTTATTAAGGCCTTTTGTGAGCCCAATCTATGCTCTGGCGTCACTTCCACATTCAATTGTAGGCCCAATAATTGTACATTTGCCTTGTCATTTTGTTAAAATAATAAATTATGTATTTTGAATTGATAATTAACAATGAGAAATTTTTATAAATTATTGATGAATGAAACAATGTCATTTTATTGAAAATATAATTATTATTGAGATGGCATTATTTGATTTATTAAAAATATATAAAAATAACATTTGAAAAGGACATAAAAACGCCTTGAAAACAAAAGCATGTTATTAAAAATCTCAAACATTTTTTTCCTAAGAATGATTTAGAATATTATTTAAGCTTAGCTATTAGAATAATAACATTTTATTATTTAAGGTTTTTTCATAACACTCGTTAGTAAAATTTTAAAATATATTATTTTATCTTTTATGAATTTTGGATTTCATATATTATTCCGTTTAATAGTAAGGTATATAAAGTCACTAGAACGAAAATATTTATCATTAAAAATTTAATGATGGTATATTTCTAAAGATTAAAACTTGAAATATTTGAATAAATATGGTTAATGTTATTTTTTTAATTATGTCAATTATAATGTATTTTATAATTTTGAAGATGACGAAGAAAATATATTTAATTTATAAATTCCTAACTAGTTCTAAGTTGACCGATATTAGATCATTTTCACCCTAACTAGAGCCAATATAGAACGATGGTAAGTTTGAATTTGAGTTTGATTCAATATTTAGAGGTCAATATTCGACTGGAATTCAAATAAATATTAAAATATAAATTTAAGTTTGATTATTAATTATTTAACTTATTTATTTACTCAAACTCAATTAAACTCATTTGTATTTAAGTTTAATTTTGAGTTTGAACTCGAACTAATATTAAGTATATTTTACATATAAAAGTATTTAAGATAAACGATTCAATTGAGTTGTAAATTACTATGGTGTTTAAATTGGAGTGGATCCAGAATTTAATTATTACATTAGATCGTATATTCGAGTGTCACTCTCCCATTCCCTCACCAACATATATATATATATATATACATATTATGCAAGGGAGGGAAGGGATAAAGATTGCACAAGACCCCAAGAGCGAGATGATCAATGTTAGAAAGACAATGAACATTAATTACCACCGAATCACGACAGGTTTGAAAACAAAGCATCTCGAAACTGAACCAATTTAATTCATTGGCAATGCCCAGGCCAGGAACCTCATTTAATGCACATGCATGGAGCCTCTCATGTTCTTTGTTTTCCTCCTCCCAAAGTGCTCATCAACTGAAGATGTCTGTTTTTTCTTCATTAATTATTTGCTCCCTTCAGACAACCCTAATATCAACAGCCTTTGTTTATCTGCTCTCTCCTCCCGACACCTAATCAGCTTATTATTCACAAAAACAATGCTGATAATGTATGAGGAACTTCATCAACTGTCACGAAATATCAACTCATTCAAAATGTAGAACAAGAGTAAAAGGCTCTAATTTGGTTTTGGCCCCTTTAGATATTCAAGTTTGGGATTTAGTCCATATACATGAATATGACATTATTTGATCCTCTATTTTATAATAATATTGGCCAGTTAACACCGACAATTATTTTACATTGAAGCAATGAAGAGTCGATATTAAATTATATTTTTTTAGGAGGATCAAAGAATAGATTTATCATCTCATTAACTAAAAACAGTTCAAAAAACAGAATGAAAAAGAGAGCCTTTTGTTGTGTTTTGTTTTTGAAGACACAAAAGGAAGCGTGGAATCATGTGATGGGGCCATTAAATGCTACAAATTTCAATACCATTTTCTGTTTTTTTAATTAAAAAAATCCCTTAACTATATCTAATTTTTCATGTCAGGGTCTCATTAATTTCATGGTGAGGTAGTGTTCAAATATCTTCAGTATTAAATTTCAGGCTGATCAGAATAGTTTAATTTAACCAGCAAAAAAGAAAGAAAGAAAAAATAGCATCTGATAGTTTCTTATTCTCAGTTCGTTGATGAAAGAATCATTGATCTGACAAATAATAAACTCTTGTGAAGCGAGTTCTACATCTTGTGTGCTATATTTTTGTTTTGTTAAAGAAAATTCAAAAAAAATTAATTACACCATATATTCTCAAGCTATTATTCGTATTTTAATTTGATACTAAATTTTAGAACATTCTATTCGAGCCTTCAAAGTATCAATAACATATCAATTAGATTCATTTGTCAATTCGAGTATTTAATAGAAGCTCGAACTCAATATAGAAATTGGGTCAAATTTTAAACACCTATGAGACTATTTGATTATTAGTTTGGATATGGTACGTGAAAAAATAACCCTCGTAATTTTGAGTTACACCACCTTTTTTAATACGTTGAATTCAAATTGTTTATGTAGTACATGGTTAAATTGTCATTAATTCATATATAGTGTATAAGTTGTGAATTTAGTTAAGTTAATTTTAGTCCTTATACTTTTAAAATTTAAAATTTTAGTATTGATTTAATCAATAAAAGGATGATCTACCTCAATTATAATGACTCAAAATGATCAAACTATAGAACATGAATTAAATCTATAAGTTACACATAATTTAGGCTTAAAAGTTAAATTTGACTTTATAAATTTAAAAATTATTATTTGAATTAAGAATAAAATTTGAAAATTTGAAAAGTACAATAAATAAATTGACCAAATTACTAGAGTACACAAATTAACTACACAAGTTACATATAGTATAAGGACTAACATAAAATCTTGATACACAATATGTACACATATTTTGAATAACATGATTGAGATTATACTAATATTAATTAATATAATACTTTGAGAACATAATTAGAACGATTTAAAATTTGAGGATCAATTCATACTAATATATTCTTAGTAATTAAACTCAAATTTAAGTATGAAAGATAATAATATTGACAGGGATAAACACGAACCTTAAATATTAAAGATAATTATTTGAATTAAATGTATAAGTTCCATTCAACATCAATTACACTCTTAATGACCAAATTCGAATTTAAACATTTGAAAATGATAATATTAACAGAGATAAACATGAATCATGGATATTGATATAAATCAAACATGAATGATGTAACATCCCAAAAAGAGGGCTAGTGACCAAAATACAAATTTTGAAAGTTTGAGTATCAAAGTAGAAAATTGGGAAACATTTAAAGTCATAAATGGTATTTTTCCCAAAAAAATAATTTTATTCCATAAATGGATTTATTTAGTGACCAAATTATAAATTTAGTAAAGTTTGGTGACCAAAGTATAAACTTTAAAAAGTTTAGGAACCAAAATGTAATTTTAAAAAGTTACATATGGGTCACGAAAATAAAAAAATAAAAAAAATGATTTTCGCATTTTTAAAATGTTGGAAAATAATATTTAATGATTTTATTTCATGTTTAATTTGAACCTTTGGATTAAAGTGATTGAATTGTAATTTTTGGAAATTACAAGGGAAAAATAGTAAAGTGGGAAACTATTTTGTCCATCTTTGACTATTGGAAGATGATAAAGTTACTGTAGCTTGGTATTAATGTAAATATCAAGTTCATTAATGGTAAATTAGTATGAATATTTTAATTTCAAGGGTAAATTAGTAATTTAGTATTTAATGAATTTTTAATTCATTAAATATTAAAAAAAGATGATGAATTATCAAAGCTTCTTCATCTTCTCCAGCATCTTCACGTGAGTTCTCTTCCAAGGTAAGAAAATATTTCTTTTCCATTTTTGAGCCAATTTCCTTGGAATTTGAGTTATGTCGTGAACTAGGAAAGTGATCTACGTGGAAAACGCTATCATTTGATACCAATATTTCTTTCTAATCTTGTTGGATTTCAAAGATCTCAAATCTAAGGGTTTATGTTCATGATATGATTCATAAAATTGATGATAAATCTTGATGAATTAGAGGTTGTAGATTCATTTTCAAGTTTGATTTATAGTT